ATCTCAGTCCAAGAAGGACAATTTATATGTGGCTTACCTGTGTGTTACATTCTACACACACTGAAGCAGGGACTTCCAGCACTGGTTGAACTTACTGAGAGAAATAGCTCAGAAACATCTGGGGAGCCATAATCCACATGAGGTAATTGAAAAAAAACTATTAAACATGGTACTCCTGAATCTAAGATACAGTTGGCTGGTCAGTCCCTATCAGTCATGGCCAAATTTTCTTCTTTTCTCCTCTACCATAAAGTAATGGGGATTGTCACAAATGAAATTACCATCTGTTTTGTGAAGCAGATCACTAAGTGCAGCAGAACACTGGATGCGTAAACCACTTCTGCTCATGAGAATCCTTGAAGCCAGAAGGTTTAAGACAGAGACCAGGAGTTTTGTATTTAATTGATTCCTTTGAGTAAAGTGGCTCATGAAAATAGCATATGGAAGAATAGGACCATTCAATGGTATATGTTCACCCAGTGAACTAGATGGAATAATATTTTTAAGTGCGTGAAAAAGAATTAAAGCAGTCCGACTCTTATTTAAAATTATTTAATCTGAAAAGTAGCTCACTTTTGCTTTTAAAACCTTATTCATGTTTCTATAATATTAGTAATTAAATAGGCTTAAGTAGTAAGATGCTGTAGGATGTTATCATTGGGTCTGTGCATGTGAACAAATGTGGATGTAAATAGATCTCAGGGTTTTCATTCCTAGGTGAAATATATTCATTAGTTCATTTTGGTCATTTAAAAGTGCAGCTATTATATGAACCAGCTGGGCTTTATTCATAAGGTTTCTATATGCAATAAAGAGTTCCATGTGTCTTAAAGGGAGGTCAAAGGAAGCAATTTAAGTACCTTGACTGGAACTGACAGACATGGTTGTGATTTCTTCCTTTCAGTTATAATACTTTTACTGTTTGTATTGTTTATTGCATCAAGAAGAATATTATTCTTTTTAGCTATATTGTGACTTCTTAGAGGATTTAGAGATGGCATTAAGGCAGATGACCTTTTACTAGAAATTCAAAACAGTCCTACATCAGATTTTCAGTCTTAACAATTAATTGCATCCAACCCTGAAAGTTGTTGTCTCCTTTTGTAGTCCACTTGCCCCTTATATGTAACTCTCCCAATCTAATCCCATAATACAAAATCAGCAGCAAAAGTTACTGGATGACATCGTAGTTGGTAACTACTCAGGTTCTCATTGCAGTATTCAGCCCATCTCTGTCAGTTTGGCCATGCCCTTTTAATTTTGGCTAAAGACAATCAAAATGGCTCTGAGTAAACATTTTTTTTAATGTCTGACACTGAGTTAGAAAAGATGAGTATTCAACTCTTTCCTGATACATTTGAGAACTGTTGGAAATACTACTAGATTTAAAACTTGAATTTTTATTTGCTCTTCATTTATATTATTGACATCTTTCAAATCCCTTGAAATGAATATAAATATATAAATATAAGCATGAAATTAGTAAGAAAATACTATCCACCTTGGATGACTTCAAATTGCCAAGACCAGGTGGGTACTGGACAGGGTACTGAAGGAGCTGGCAGATGTGAATGAAATCTTTCAGTGCTCCAGGAACTGCCAGCAGAATGGAAAAAAGCTTCAAGGGAGAGAAAAAAGTTGAGCCAGGAGATTACAGATCAATCAACTTGACATCAATACCTGGGAAACTCCTGGAAAAGATAATGAAACAGTGGATTTGTGGGCACCTAAAAAGGAACAAGTTGATTACTAGAAGCTATCATGGGTTGTTAAAAGCCAGTCATGCCAAACAAACCTTATTGCCTTCTTTGACAAAGTGACAAAGAAAATGCTGTGGATATAATAGACTTAGACTTCAGTAAGGCATTTGACAAAGTAGACCACAGTAAAATAGAACAATAGAACAATGTGCAATACACAGTACTACCACCAGATTAATTTGCAGTTGGCTGACCAACAGCATATAGTCCTCAATGGAACTACATCTGTGTGGAGGGAAGCATGCAGTGGGATATCTCAAGATTCTGTCTTGGGCTCAATGCTCTTCAACATCTTGATCAATGACCTAGATGAGGTTATTGAATGGGCACTCATGAAATCTACAGATGACAGACTCAAGATTCAAAAGGATCTTGACAGACTTAAGCATTGAGTCTTATTCAAAAGATGCAGCTCAGTGATGAGAAAAATAGTCCTAAACTTAGGTAGGAAAAGCCAAATGCACAGGTACAGAACAGTATCTGGCTCACAGTAGTACCTGTGAGAGGGATCTATGTGTCCTAATAGATCACCGCTTAAATATGAACCAGCAATGTGCTGTAGCTAAAAAAAAACAAAAACAGAGGGATAATAGGAAGATCAAGAAAAGTGATAGTACTGCTCTGTAGTGCACTAGAAGGCCACACTCAGAACAATGCATCCAATTCTGATCATCATGATACAAAAAAGATGCTGAGGCCCTAAAAAGGGCAGAGAAGAGCAACAAATATGATTTTGGGCTGGAGGCTAAACAGTATAATGAACAGCTAAGGGAACTAGGTATCTTTAACACAACAAAGAGGAGGGTTGGCAGTAACATGATAGCTGCCTTCCAATACTTGAAAGGCTTGCCAGAGAAAAGGAAAAGGTGGTCTATTTATTCTCCAAAGCACCTGAGACAGGACAAGAAGCACTGAATGGAAGCTCATGAGAGGAAGATTCAAGCTGGAACTAAGAAGAAATTTCCTGACAATGAGAATAATTGGTCAATGGAACAGTTGGCCTCCTGGAGTGGTGGGAGCTCCATCGCTGGAGGTTTTCAAGAAAAGATTGTACAAATATTTGTCTGGGGTGGAATAAGGATTCCTGCAAGGGATTGGACTACATTCTAGAAGACCTCCACGATCTCTTCTAGTCCTATGATTATATGAAACATGCAAAATTATGATTTCAGTGTAAACCAGGAAGTGACCTAGCCAAATCATAAACTGATTCATTTTATGTATTCCCTATCTCCCTTCCTTTCCCTCTACTTCTACTTGTAATTTCCTTCATCCCTGAGTTGACATTGCATGATGTTAAATTTCTTTCTTACCTTTTAAAGTCCTAGAATTCCTATTCTGCTAATGCTTTCATCAGCTGCAAGTTTGTACATAGAGTATGTTTTCCCCAAGCATATCTTACATATGAATCAAATCTAATACTCAGCCAATAAAGTTTCTCTCTCTATCATATATACCTCATGTAGCTATTATAAATGTGAATAAGTATATGTGAGAGAAATTATATGCATAAAAATATGATTTCATAATAACCAGAAAAGGTTAATGTGATGACCAAATTAGTCCCACTGGATTTTAGCAAGCGTGATTCATAACTGGATTTCATGGTCACCAAGTGATGCCACTGATATGTTACATAGAGCACATTTTGAATAAATCTTGTTCTGAAAAGCAAACCTGAATATGAGATGCACAACTTAACCCAGAATTATAATAATGGAGCAATGACTTTTTAAAAATAATTTGCATGCATTTTTATCTGTCAGCCTCTTACTAATCTTAGGACATGAAATGAAGCTTGGCATGTCTTTTTTTAATATCCATTGTGGTTACATGAATTAAACTTAGCCAGGATCTCATGATCTGAAATAAAAATTAAATCCCCAGACAAAGCAAAACAGAAGGGGTTCCCTAGCTTTTGTTTTTGGCACTGGAAAAATACATGGCTTAAATAGACATAACTAATTAGAATCTCAAGAGAAGCTAACAATAGAATGGGCATTTTGCATATTAAGCATAATTAAATTAGTCATTCAAGAGAGAATAACAACCTAACCCCTTGTGAATCAGTGGTATTTTCATGGAATGTCAAAAAAAACCCAACCCCAAGATTATGTGATGTATATACATGCAGTGCATGTATATAAAGGATCAAATAATGTTGATTAGCATCTTGACTTTTTATATTCAGATATAGCCTCACAGACATTACTGATGGGAACTATTCTTTCTTTATTGATGTGCACAAGTAGATCATCCCATTGAATATGATGACACTCACTATGGAAAACTTTAAGTACAAGATACTTAGAATTATCTTTGTTATGCTGTACAAAAGAATGTCAGAAGTCACATCAAAATGAACGTCTGTTTGTTAAGACATAATATAGCTCAAGTATACACATCTACTGAACACAGATGTTACTGCGAATAAAGAGCCAAAATGAAGTCAGGCACATGACTGTAAATATTCACAGAATACTCTTGTTCTTATTACATTGGGATCTTGCTATCCTGCTTGCATCCTTGCTCAGTTTTTCTAGCGCTAGTCAGCAACAACAGATATTTCTTTTGGCTGTTTACGTTGCATTGTTTAACTTAAATTATGTTGACTGCTTGTGTTGCATTGTCTAATTTAAATTATGTTAATTGATCATTATCTTGAACTCAGAGTAGCCAAGGTATGCTATGTAAAACCAAGCCTAAAAATGATAAAATATTCATGTGTGGTATGGGATACAGTGCTGGTTAAAGAAGCTGTATTCCTAAGATAATGCTAAGTGAAACTCCTCCAGCATCTGTCAGCAATGTCCATCATGGCTGGATCCGTTTGAGGTTTTAATGCAATAATAGTAGAAGAGCCAAAATTATAAATGCTGACTTTTCTGTGGAGATTTTTTTAAAACCAAACTTAATTGTAGACATTTTTAACCGCCCAGAGAACCCCTTTCAATGCTCATCCTACTATTTTAATCTTGCAATTTTGGAATCCAACCTGATGTTTTCATGAAAAGCAATTCAAAAGATAAACCAATGTCTGGGATAGTGTTCATAATATACTAGCAAAGATTGTTATCGTTGTTAGACATAGAGATACTCAGTCAACCACCCCCAAACTGCAATCTAAAGGGATACAATCAATATTCAAATTAGATACTGCGTCTGCTGCTTGTAAGCATCGGTCTGGCTTATCAAGCATATTATGAAATGATTAATGAATATCCTTTCTGTTCCTTTCAGGGTCCACCTGGTCCAAAAGGTGAGAAGGTGAGTCAGCAAATCTCTGCTACTAACCAACTAAGCGGAAGTCGTCCTGATAGTAACTAGTGGCTATTGAAGCAGTTATGATATGAGATTATTTAAGAGACCTGGGTTAGCACACACGCTGTGTTAAAACTATCATCTTTCCACTTTGCAGGGAGATCAAGGTGATCAGGGCCCTCGGGTAAGCATATTAACAAAAATGTTACACTTCCTCTTCCCTGACTAGGCAGTTAGTCCATAGCGCAAAACTAAATTGAGCTAAGTGTCAAGCTAATTATGCTTATTAGCTGCTTTTACCCTGCATGTTGTAGAAAGTGTCTGCAGGAAAGCCAAAGGCAAACATTTCACAGATCATTAAAATATGCAAGTAAAAAGAGTTCATGGTACACACATTACTGCACACACTAAAATTCACAATCTCTGTGGTTCGATAGTCATATTCTAGAATGATTGTGATTTGCTGCATTAGAAAACCATCTTGCCTAACTAAACTTCCAGCCTTCCCCACCTGTTTCTTTTGTCAGATCTGCATGAGCTTCTATTAAAGCAAATGGCAGTTGGATTTCATCAAATTATACTTCTTTAGAAAGGAGTTTTGCATGCCTTTATAATTTGCTTTTTGGAAATAGCAATCTGTTCTGTATCTAGAACAGTTTAGAATTAGCAATATAGCGAAACACAGCTTTTGCTAGATTTGGTTGTGCTTGTTTTTTTTCTTTAAGCTAAGATAATGACACAGGAAAAGATACTGTTGCATTGAGAATGCCAGTTGTTTCTCTTTACATCTGTGCATCATAGTAAAAATAGAACAAACACCAGTTGGTGCCAGAAAACAATTGTCAGCAGAGGGAGAAATGTGTTCTTCCCTCCCTCCTTCAGCTTTCCCAATGGACCTAGCAGTGGTGGCTCCGTATTTTGGAGGAGACCCACTTAGTTGCCTGCCTCGTTGGAATTGCTTTGCAGGACGCTCAGAAGGAAAGGACATGGGAATGGCTCTTTCTATGGTTTGTATTCTTGGACAAAGAAAATGAGCATGCAACTTCAGTGAGGAGAAAATGAAAGAGCCAGCAGCCTGTGATATCATCAGCAGCTCTTGTCCAACAGTTCTAGGTCCTCCCTAGCTTTACTCAAGATACTTTGTCATCTTGCTACAGCAGTCTGGTCTCTTCACACAACCTGGTGTGGTGATAGGAGACCAAAATGAATGTCTAAACAGCGGCAGAACCAATAAAACACATTTTTTTTCTCGTTGAAAACTTTTTTTCTATTTGTGTGGAGCTTTTTGCAAAATATGTAGCGACAAGAACCGACAGTAATTACCTCAAGTGCTATCCCAACTTCAAAACTCCAACAGGTCCCAACAGCACTGAAATCCATTTTGGATAGCTCTTGTACAAAGTGTTGGGCTCTGAATGCTGGTGTTTCAAATTTTTCTGATAGCCTCACAGCAAATCTTAAACAAACACTGAAAGATGCCATAGAAAATATTCAGTATTTATTTCCTAGCAGCCTGCTGCCGCTGCCAGTTATGTACTTAAACCAGGGTTCTAAACAGTCTTTGCAGAAAACAACTGCAACCTATTTGCAAACTCAGTTTATTACCAACTATTTAAACATGGACTCTTTAAACTCCTGCATAGCTGCCTGGTTAGTTTAACATATCTGGAGGTTGGGGAACCCTCTCCTGCCAAATTGTTAATGATTTGTGTAATTTTCTCTGAGCTGTATCCTTTTCATGTGGGATTTCAAACATGTTTGCTATTTAGTATGTATTTGTTTACACAGCTGAGAGAACCAATAATGAGCAAGCCTATCTTAACTTATGGCTTGTTAGGTTTGTTCCATATAATGGTTTGATAGAAACCAGGGTGATAGAAACTGTGATGGGATGCATTGAATATAAGGATAGTCATTCTAATTGCTTTTCTCTCCTTCCACCTTTTCTATCAGGTACAGAGATGTTGAGCCAGATTTTTGCTGTGCATGTAGCTAGGAGACAATAATGGAAAAAGCTACTGCTAGGATATTTATTATTCAGGGTAATAAGTAGAGAGCTATTCGAAAGGTCATTATAGTTGTTTTCTACTTTTATAAGGCAGGGCAATCCAGGGAGTAGAAGCAAATGTTTGTTAGCTTTGAATCAAGTTTTAACGTTCCACAAACCTGCTTGCCTTGAATCACTCAGAACTATTAAGACATTCCTGTCTTATTCAGAGCATTGTTATTTAATACGCTTATCTCTGAACAGTACCTACATGTATGAATTCCTAGCCCCTGATGTACATAATATATCTTTTCAAAATGTTTGAATAATACTAATTTTAGTCCTGATACTGGATGATGCCAGAGAGCTTTTCTGTGCATTCTCTCCAAATCTGAATTTAAAAGCACATTCAATGGTATTCGATAGATGTGATCATTCAGGTTGCTCACATTTCATACCCAAGATTTTAAATCATATCATACCTAAAATATGTAATATTTTAATTTCCTTAAAAGCAAGCAATAATGCCATGATCCAACTAATATTCCAAAGTTCATACATTGGCAGGAGAGGTTCAGTCATCTATGCCCAGATTCTTCTGCAAATTGAACCTCTGGGTAGGATTTAGTAATGGTATAAATCCTCCATGAGTGTTGTGTAGATGAATATTCAATGTATTGTGACTGATATAGAAATAATTAGACTTCCCATCTAATGTCCCATTACAAGGCTGATGGGAATAGATCTGTGTAAATCTTTTTAACAGGTCAACTACTTTGAATTAATCAATCCCAAGGTTATTTCACAAAACAAAACATGAGAGCTTGCTTCTAACAGCAAAATGATCATATAACTCAACAGACCAAATGGATCTTTTATACGCCACTAGCCTCATTTCTTATTGGTAGCCAGGACATGGCAAGCTGCAGCTGTCCAATTCAGAAGCACTAAGGATGTTTAAGGAAAGGAATTGTTGTCATGCTGAGAAAAACTTCTTCTTCTGCATTGGCGTATGCGCATTGAAAATCTTAAACTGAAGAAATTAAAAATTATTTCTGATCCCTTCTCAAGATAGCATAGCTACCATGAGCTTCAGGAAAATATGCTTTTGGTTTAAAAAGTTGAAAAGAAGGGATATGTTTATGCTTTTACACACTTCTAAACACCACTTTGTTTTTAAATTTAAAGACCACAGCCCTGGTGTTTAGTTCAAAGAGAAAAGTTGATTTTGATTTTTTTTTTTTACTTCAGTGGAAGACAGGCTCCACAATTAAGTGGAAATTTAATGATGCAATTGGATTTTAGAGCCTCAGCTAAGTTTCTGAGTAGAAACATCAGTCAACAAAATGATCATGGCTTTCATGCTACTTTCCACATTGTTCAGAAGCAATTTTTGGAAGCATGGAACTGCAGAACAAAGAATGAATGATTAAAATACTACTGACAAATGCTGTTTTTTCTGCAGACGATGGACAGCTGGATATCACCCAATGTGTGTTTTAGGAAGTATGTTTTATCATTAGGCTATTGAAGTGGGTCTTTATTTTAGCTATGAAATTTTGCACGGTAGGTACTAAAGATTTTAATAATCTATTAATCTAATTTTCAATATTTTACTTGGAAGTGTGCCTCTTGATTTGATTGGCAAGAATCCAAAACTCTAGTAGTTAGTCATTCACAGAAGTATCTCTTCAGTATAGAAAAAATTGTACAACAATAGCATCTTTCCCAGAGATTTTTTTCCCAATGTGCAGATCAAAGCAGCAGGTACTTCTTTCAGTGTTTTCTCTAGCTTCAGGGATATGCTTACATGAAGCAATGTTGGCAAAAATTTCTCTTCCCCTTTTTTGGATCTTGGCCAGCATATCAGAAACTGACAAATTATTATTGCATATTTCTACTTTCAATAGATAGATAGATTTGCTCTGAGAACATTAAAGATAACTAACATTTTTTCTTCAATTCTTTCAATTTTTCATGCATTTTTCTAAATGCACCAGATGGATATATGGAAGACATGATTATGCTTTCCCTTATATTATTTCATAATTGATAGATAATTTCCTGTATTTTTAAAATTAGTAATAGTTCATCTTTTGTCCTCATTGGAAAATGACA